TTCCGAAAAGAATTAGCTTTTGTAAAAGCGCTACCGCAAAAGTATTTGCACCGAAGGCGATTAGACGAGCATCCGTTGTGCAGTATTCGACAGCGCTAAGCATTAGACCATTCGAGACCTTTATCACCTATCAGAATTACTCGTACTGTTAAGCAAACACGTCAGATGAGGGCAATTACGGTTTTTCCGAAAAAAAAAATCGTTCTGCAGATTAAGAATACGGTTTTGAGATCAGCGTTTCGCGAATGTCATGACATATGTCACATATCGAAAGGCCACGGCTACCAAGTACCATTCCTCGTCAAGGATTGCTTTTGCGCCGAATGCGAAGTTAGCGGTTCAAAACTTTACAAACACCTCAAACGAGGACTGTTTTTACTTAAGACTGCGATTCTGCCAAATTTTTGGTAGAGTTAGATTAACAAAGTTTAAGATTTCTGTAACCTATTAAACTCAGTGCAATTCAAAAAAAAAGGAGCGTTGCTGTTCTCACAAGGGTAGAAAGGCTGGTCGAAGTGGCCTTTTAGGATAAGATGTACATTTTCTTGTAGAGCTTCAAGCGCTGATTCTAAATCTGCCTTCGCTATCTGCTGCGCGCCTCTGGGCGAGGAGTTACAAAGGTTTTTCTGAGCAAAAAATTAAATGCAAAATCAATGATAAATTAATCATAACATTTTTTCCAGGGCTCATTCGATAGCTGGGTCATTCGCTGCAGTAAATATTCTCAATTCAAATGTACCAACTCGCTTGCCTCATTTGAAGCTAAGAAAAGGTCGCAACTGATTTTATACTGATTTTGCATTTGACTTTTGACTCACAAACATCTTCACAACTCCTCGGCCAGAAGCCGGCAGCAGATAGCAGAGGTAGATTTGGAATTAGCGTTTCAAGCTCTACATGATAGTGCACATTGCACATTAGTGCAATTCGATCAACCCCCTTCTCTTGTCAGATGGCTCTAAAAGCTTCCGGAGTCAGTGCGCTGTAAAAACGTGTTTCTTGTGCTTCAGATAGGATCTTGTGATAATTACTGCGATTTGATCACAGCCTTGCCATTTTGAAGAACAGTTTGTATGCTATTTAAATTGAGTTCGGCTCGATGAAAAATAGGATGTTTTATTTTAGCACAATACATAATATGCCAGTTGCAAAAGAGTTCGCTGACTTTCTTGAAGACTTAAAAGTGTGCTTTTTTTGTGAACCCAAATTTTCGCATTGAAAAAAGCTCTGTCCCCTTCCTTCTTAAAAGCAGCATCCAGGTAGATATGGAGATATGGGGCTCTCACGTGGATCGTAATTTTGGGGGCCTAACTAAGCCACTGACCAAGCGGCAGCTTAGGTAGTGCTCTAACGATAATCGTCTCGAAACTGGACCACAGGATCGTATTTCGCATGGATTCATAGCGCAACCCATGGGTTCTCTCGCGAAACTGATGATCTGCACCATGAATCCATGCGAAATACGATTCTGGGGTCCAGTTTCGAGGCGAATATCTCGCTTTCTGTGCATTAGCTGAGCTGCCGATTGGACAGTGGCTTAGTTAGGGCCCCAAGATTACTATCCACGTGAGACCTTCATAGTCCAGATTTGCCTGGATGTTGCCTTTACCAACGCAGCTTACTGGGGCAGGACTCCAATTCGCAGTGGGAGTTCTGGAACAAAATGTATTAGGGTGATCTAATAGTAATGGAGCACTTAAAAATAGAGTATTCTCAAACAGAAAACCTAATGAAGTTTAAGTTTTGGATGTTAGCACATAACAAAACCTTCTTATTGAGGTCATAGATGGGCACTGTCACATGGCGTTATTTTGCTATCGAGAATTGAAACTCATCATTTTGAGTAATTTTGATGAGCTGCACCGCCGCAACAACAAGTGAGCCTACCAAAGATATCTGCGCAGCAATGGGTGAGGTAATTGTTACCGAATCCACGATAGCCTCGTGGTCTCAACGCTTTAGAACAGAAGATATAGTATCGGGAATTAGGAGAAATATTATTTATTCACTCATTAGAGTAAACAAATGAGCTCATCTTTTAAAGACAATGGATCGGCAAAATCCAACAACTCGGGATTTTAACGCGGTAGGTTCCTTATCGCCCAGTCATGAAAACAGTGCAATCTCGGTTGCACAGCATGCTTTCCCTGCCGAGAAAATCGCTCTCGATGTTACAGGCGCTGGCCAATCTTACACGCATCTGGATGAATTGGCAATTTCCTTTTCACCATTGGAGGCTGCCCGCCGCAACGCTATAACCATTGGGTCCTGCTACGATTTAGTGTCATCGGCCTTGCTTCACTCGTCCAGTATCAATGGGAAGGGCATTAAAAAACGCTCATTTTAGCCGTTTTCAAGCTTCAAAAGTGGATTTTCGGGATCAGCGTATTGAAAAACCCCAGGTAAGCGCAATTTTGACTAGGTTGAGATTTGCCGAGCCACTGCCTTTAAGATGTCATCTAGTAGAGCTTTTTCGCTCTAACCATACATATGCAATTTATCTCGATGTTCTCATTTTCAATAAATTATAGGTCAAAACATGATTATTAGCTTGAAAATCTGCGCCACATCGCACTTTTACGGTTAGAGTGCCTTTATTGTATGAAAATGGGAGATTTTTGTACTTCAAATAATCAAGCTTGGAAACCGCTTTTGACTGATAGGTCAAATGTCTAAGGACTTTCGAATACAGCGGCACAAAGTCAGATGGCGTTTAAAAAGTTACCTGATATTTTCGAAGTGCCGCAAGATTGTGGGTGAGGTGCTGCAAGGTGTTGTCGGGATAACCTGCGAAGGTCACTTTATACAAAAGCTTTAGACTGGTGGTTGTTTGTAATTAACCAGAAAGAGACTAAAAAATGTTCAAAAATTAAGATGCCCCATTACCTTGAATCACCCTAATATATCATTGGACGCGTCTTACTATGATTCCAGATCTAACTTCCATATTTGTTGAGCGATTCTTCAAAGAAATCAAAAATTAGAGCCCAAACATGCAATCATTCAAAGCTACACCTCCGGAAATTAGATTAGAAGCACTCACTTTTGTTTCTGGTGATTGTGTGCATCCGTCAGCTATGGAGCCTCTCAGAACTTTTTTCCGTAGAAAGGCTGAGCAGATATGGGATGTAGATTTAAGATCAGCTCATGAAGACGCATATAATGGAGATGCACTTTATTCCATTTCGCCACTGAACTGGGATAACTCCAATGTTAGATATGTAACAACAGCATTTGTGACTGCAATATCGCCTGCAATAATACTGCGATATTGACTTTTTTCGTTTCATCCATACTTCTTCAAAATTATATTTAATATATAAGCGGAAAGATTTCTGCCGATCTCAGCTATAACAATATGCTGCGACTTTTTTTGAAAAAATGATAGCATTTTTCTCTGTCTATCATTGCTCGTTATGCTATATCTGTCGCTTTCAAATTAAATGATAATAAGAATATCTGTTTTTGTGTACTTTCGAGCTGAGTAGCAGAAATAATGTGCGGCCTCAAGAAGAAGTATTTTTTATTTTTTGCAAGCTTCATGAGGACTTGTTTGCAAAACTTTTCGAAGGCCTTGGGGAGTCCAAGTGATCCTCGATTTGTCGACCACTTCCCGAAAAAGCAAAAATGCAAACTTATCTTGCTATAGACAAATTTTTCAGTCCTGCTACAAGGAGGTATTTGATTTTAGCACCGGAACATCCTCTCTATCATTCGTTGATAATAGTAGGCTCTAGAAGAAACAAATTGCAGGATTCTCGCTTTTTGCTAGCTGAAAAAGACCGCTACGATCTTTCAGTATCCAAGTAATTTTTCGCTCTTGAACTAGCAGCCTCGTAATTTGAGCAAAAACTGAAGAATGGAATCAACAAGCGATCATGCAAAAGCCTGTAGATGAGCTTTTTCTACAATTCTGAAGAATGTAAAAATTCTGGATATTGCTTTCTCCGGTGACCAATCACTCCCGGTAATTGCCTGATGGGTGTAGGGTAGAGGAACGAATAGAGAGAATCACCTCCACACATTACTGTTCTTCATATGGCATGCGGGGCAAATGGGGCCAGGGGTCCGCAAAGGCGGCGCCTAATGGCAGTCTTCTTTTCTCACCCAGGGATGTATGCTGTAAGGTGCGATTTCGATTATGGTAATTGTCAGAGCCATCAAATGTCCTTAAACAAGAATTTGGGGCTCTAAAATTTTGTCACTTCAACAAAAAATATACCTGGAGTTGATGTGGTCATTGCTATCCTAATGGATCAAAAATATTTCATATTGCGAGACTACTTTATAGTCATCTTGGATATGACCTACATATCCAATTCGTCAGTATTCTCTCGTTCCCCATCAGAAACTATGAACCACATTATAGATTTGGATGTCTGGCTATCCGACCTTTTATCCGGCATTCTCAATGATTTTTGTGGTGTCCCTGTTTTGAGACCTACTATGTTCCCATCAATATCATCAATGAGGCTAAGTTTTTCTATCTAAGCAATTGCTGGGAAGAAATCAGCTTCAAACTTTTTATTATTCTCCAATGCACCTCAGAAAAATTATCGCTGTCATTTTGTGCCTCTCTGCAAATTTTTCGAACAAGTGTCAGCTCTTAGGTTACTTCAAAAAAATGTTAAAGCCTTGATGGCAGCGCGACTACTATACCAACAAGTGCCAAAAACGTGAAGATGCTTGAAGAGTTTACCACCAAACTCCCCTCATCATGTGCGTGCAGCCGGTAAAAATAAAACACAACAATAATTTTTGCCTTGAAAAATGTAAGCATGCTTTTTCCTCCCGATTTCTCGGGAAATTTCTGTGATAATTACCGGTTCACCTCCTAATACACATAACGAGCTTCAAAGGAAAGTTTTGTTTTTTTTTGACAAAAATGAATCACGACCAAAACAAAAATCTATGCTAGTTATGACACATTACAGCGACAAAGCGAAATATTCCCTGTTTGTTCATCGGATGTAGAACAAACACCTACTGAAAAGTGTTAATTAAGCAGAATTCTTATTAAGTGTTGAATATGTACAAATCACCACAACAAAGCTTATTAGTGAAGTTCCCAGATGTTTCTACGAATTTTTTCAACTACTTCTTCCACATTTTCCTTGGTATAGCCATTGGTGGCATTTACTTTCACCGTAGGATCCTCTTCCAAATCAACAAGGTCTTTAAGGTCAGCGCCTGAAACAGACGTGATTACGTGAACTTTTTTTATTCAAGCATACCATAATTTTCCAATCGAAAGCCTACAACATGTTGCTTACCTCGTAAACTGACGACTACTGTTCTTCGTATACTCTTATTTGGTATCAACTTCTCAGGACCTTTTGCCTTTTTCCTACAAAGAATATACGATAGACTATAACGCTGCTTCCTACCCGTGTTTCATGAAATAACTCCACACTCACATAGCTGATAATAACACGAGGCAGTTTGCCTTGCCCTCCCAATCGATGGAATTGTCATTAAGAGTTTCTAGCATCCTGTAAGAAATTTAGCTGAAGAGAAAAGCTCAGTACACAATCGCTTGACAACAATTCCACAATTACACTAGGAACAGTGGAAGTTTAAATCTCTGACGCTGGCTAGTAGTACGAAAGTCACGGTTTTTTCGCCCACATTATAATGTCATATTCAAAAGTCAGTAGTATGTAAGTTGAGTTTTCGCTCAAATTACATTATATACCATTAGTTTTACACGATATTAACAGCTAATATACAAAAGTCAAGGCTTTTCCGATCGAATTATAAATATATTATATTATCGTTGTATCGCATATGAATGATTTATGAACTATGGCAATTTGTTATACAATAGAATTGGGAGACGGTCAAGAAGCACAATTTCCCCCAGAGGTCACCAACAAAAAGCAGCCTAACTTAGATCTGTGCGAGCTTTTAGGGATATAAGACAAATTGCTTTGGTTTACTAACTCTAAGCTACCACCTGCTAAGTTTGACGGCTTTTGGCGAAAACTTGCTTGGAATATTCATAAAACGTCATTAGTTGTTTTTCTATGGGTTTTTGACCTCTAAAACTCATTTTTTGAACCTATTTCAAAATAATAGCATCGAGAGAAACCCATAGGACAATCATACATTTTGTTAGAAATAAATTGCTCCTAGAACTTCATGAAGTATTGAAAATGCGCTAATAGTGTCCATCTGACAACAAAACTCGTGCCTCTTGATATACATCCAGTAGAATTCGGGGGGGGGGGGGGGGGGGGGGGGGGGGAGGGGGGAGGGGGGGGGGAGGGAACGAGTGGAGTGGTGGTATGAGCCGCCGCCATGACCAAATCGGACCCAAGCTCGACCCGCCCCCTTGGCCATCCAAGCCCCTTACCCTCCGAGCCTGGTAGATTGGTAGCAAAGTAACCTGGGAAGACAGAAGCACTGAGGTAATCGGCTTGCCCCCGCAAGTCACTGTAATAGACCCGCACGCATTTATTAGCCGACTAGTTGGCAAACCCGGCTCCGCCCGGGCCTGTCAATAATATATTTGTAATCAGCATGCTCGATTACCCCCCTGTGCCAACTCCCAGCCCTGTAGCTCAAATTTTCAAAATATCGGTAAAATCGATATCGGTCGATAACGAAAAGTAGCCTTTGACACGCTCCCTGTCCCGAAGTATATATGTGCCAAGTTTGGTCCAAATCGGTTCAGAAATAAAAATTTCTATTCCGCACATACGTACATACAGACAGACACACATTCAGCTTTATATATAAGATTCGACCATGAAGTAGTGTGCGTTCGGCGCATGCCAGAGGGTATTAAAGACGCCGAATCCTTTATCTTAATCCTTTTTCAATAGAATTCGCGAATGTGCGTCGAAATGTTGAAATAAATGTTCAAAATCTCCTATTTTGGTAGCATCCATTCACGCCCACTGTTACTCAGTAATGGCAAATACAGTAGAAAAAATAATTTCATTGCATTCAGCAATGGTATGATGTAGTATGATAAACGCTGCCGCAAAATTATTATAACGCTCAAGTTTTTACTATTGTTTGAGATTTGAAGCTCATAATTCAATCTGCTAGCTATATGAATAACTGTACACAAGCAAGAAGTCGCAGTGCTACTTAAGTTTAAGTGGAGCAGAGCACTTTTGCTTCGGGCATTTGAACGCAAGAAATATCTAGGTTTATGAGGTTAGAAAGGTCATAGCATGATTTTTATGCAATTATGCATTCGAACTGCCACAGGTCCATTACTTTTCTGGAGAGATAGTATTGCTTAAATGAAAATTTGATGAACAACAAAGTTGCAAGCGAACGCTCACATGAGTTTAGATAATATATAATTTTTCTCACATAAGTGATTCTGTAGTACGAACCTTTGTGAGCTTAACCATGAATTTTTAGCTTCAAACAAATCTTAGTTTTCGGGGAAAATCAAATTGTTTGCAAAAAACCCGAAAAACGCGACACACTCGCACTTTTGATTTGATTTTGTTTGTTCTACCGTAGCCATGGAAAATAACACAAACTGTACAGGTGAATGTTTAGTGTGGAGAGTACGTGCCTGTGCAGACTGGAGTCCCTAGAACGTCTATGGACGGAGATACGATTTTCGGGTTTCAGAAATTTTTTGAATTTTGGATTCGAACTTCAGGCAGAGCAAGATTTCGGTGAGATTTGTAAACTAACTTTTAGATGCTTTGCTCTATCATATGATACCCCATTCGCTGTTTTTCTGTGGTCACTCTGTTCGCGGTAAGATGCCCATGCGACACTATTTTCCGGGCAACCTGATATATTTCCGTACTTCTCGCTATGTAGTCTATCATTGAAAAACTGTTCACTAATGATTTCTGCTCGTTTCCGAAGATTTCCTCGAAATCTGCACGTGCAAAGTTTACATAATCAAATTATACCCACTTTTTGTTAGACATTGGATCGTGGACTTCTACGTAAGCCATTGTTTCATTGACGTCAGATGCAAAAGAGGTGGAGCTATACGTCATACAATTCAGCGCTTCGTTTATATCGGAGGTATTCGCATAACCGTAAGCCCATATGCTAACTGCGGCATCCTCCACTCCAAGCAGCTTCTCTCCAATGTTGATAACGAATTCCCTTTCCTAGAAATTCCATTTAATCGAGAGATTCAGACAACGAGTTCTTGTTTGAGATTAGTTTTTTCAATCAATTTCACAGTCAACGCAGAAGTTCCTAAGCCAACTGCTGAGGCTTACCTTTTCGTACTCCTCAACTCTCTTATCAAAATTTAGGAGATCACCAGCGATAAGACAGTGGGGTCCGACATATCCGGGGACTGAAAAATCAAATATAAATGAATCAAAATACTATGCAACATTGAAAAATCGCATTTGGATTGGAGATAATGAAGAAAAAAGGAAAGATTAGATTCTTTGATTGAGTGGGTTCTATAAATTTATAGGAAACCCGACAATTCTTTCGAAAGAAGATTTTTTTGATGGCAATAAGTAGAGAAATTTATTTTGATGATAATAAGTAAAGAAAATAGTGTTGAGAATGGTTCGTACCCTCAAAATCGACTGATTTTGAGTGTAAACTTTTCGTCATGAAACGATGAGAGGGCAAGATAGCCAAAAAGAACAAACAAAGCACTTTATTACTTTGTTTACTGTTTGCTTGCTATGGCAGCAGCACATGGCTTGAGGACCTACTGTGACTGCGTTCTCCCAAAATCTCGCTGAAGAAACCAATAAATCTGTTATTCGTTACCTGTAGTGGGTGGTAATTTCGTAGTTATCGTAACTGGTGACTCAGTTGCATTAATGTCAAGAATCCTCTCAACCACATCGCTGGCAGTCTCGTTGGAGTCTGAATTTTACGACAAATTGAATCTACTAGAAAATAAACTGATGTGTATGTCTAGTCGCGCTTACCTCGTAATCTCACAACCACAATTTTTTCAAATTCGGTTGTGTTGAATCTTTTTTCTAAATTTATTGTTCGCTTGTAGGGTAAGGCAGTGAAAAATACCAAGCAATTTGCCGTTCCATTGATTTCGGTGATATTGTTGATGCGATCGATTACTCTGCAGAAAAAGTTTTTTTTTAGAAATAATTCTGTGTAGTTTGTCCCACAGAAACTACTTACTTGGCTTTTGAAATACCAACTTATGATTTACTAGTACTAAAACAAATAAATTCTGACTTACTCTTTATTTGAGTAGTTTGGTTTTGGCAGATCTATGTAATTCATTGTGATATTGATATCATCCGTAAGCCATTCACTATCACTTGTCATATTCGAAAGTTTTTCCTCTGGGTGAGGAATTTCGTTGGTGTACCCGTATGCCCAGATTGCTCCTTCAGCTTCAACACCACTGCTGAGCAGTTCATCGACTATCTCGGAAATGTTTCTCTTTTCCTGTAAAGAAAATTGTTATTTCAAACTAAGATGAACTTTAGCTGGGAATGCCTTTCTTGAACAATGTTTTAGTGCGTGACAAAATTTCATAACGCTACGTAAGCAACATATATTTGAGAAGTTATTCCATCTTTTTGCCAATTCTAGATTTACCTTCTCGTAATCGGGAATCCTCCTGTCGAAATTCAAGAGATCTCCTACAAAGAGGCAGCGTCTTGTTTCCTTCGGCGCTGTAAAAGTTTTTTTTTTGTTTACATACCACTGATCGTATGCGAGTGACCTAGGGAAACAGACAATAATATCACTTAGAAAATCGCAGTTTTCCTTTATCAACTTTGGGGATAAAATTTTGCCCGAAAGAAGGAAGAGTGAGCCATTGAGCTCGAGAGGATATACTGCAGCAATATAGAAATTGGTCACACCGTCATGGCACAATCTGCGAGTTTTCTCACCTACTTTAGAAAAGGATTTGAGAGGAGTGCAATAGTCCATCTTTCACTATTGCATTTAGAGTAATTTACTGGTAGGTCACTTTTCTCAAAACTCTGATAAGAGTTGAAAAGTACGCCATAATTTGCTCACAATATTGCAATGTTTTTGAAGACCGAAATTATGAACGAAGTGATTTGTTCTGAATGTTATAGATTTTGTTATTAAAGGCAGTGGCTCGGCAAAACCAAACATCTCAAAATTTTGATTTGAAAGATTGCTTGTATCCCAAACATCAGAACAGAGCAGGTCCGAGCGCACAACATGCCCTGCCCCTACCTAGAATAGCCATTCTTACACGCGCTCGGACGAAGTTGCGGTCCCCCTCCCACAGTCAGAGGCGGCATGCCACAATGCTATAAACATAGGGTCCCGCAACGACTCTGGCGGGAAGCTTGTTCAAATTCAAAATGAGGACCCTCGGAAAATGCTGGTTTTCGACATTTTCTTGCTCTTCAAAGCGTATTTTCGAAATAAGCGCGTCGAATTATCCCAGGTAAGCGAAAAAATTCAAGTCAAGGGTTTGCCGAGCCACTGCCGTTAAACTGCTAATAATAGCTTCAGAATGCGCGTTTGTCGAAGAAAACATATACTACGCATTTTGCGCGGGTTAAATGTAAATCAAGGCTTTCACTCTATAGAGGGTATCGTGCAAGTTCTGAGATTCATCTTGCCCAAAAACGTTAAGATATTTATTAGTATCACTTTCTCTAACACAGCCTCTAGAGGGTAGGAGCTGTATCGCCTAATCTAAACTTCCATGAAAAGGAACTTTTTTTAAAGGCCACAGTAAATGTGACTGTTGCTGGAGAAAAAGTAGAATATAAATAATAGATGTAATTGCAAAAACCTTACCTCCCGTAAAAAGAAGAAAATGAAGAAGTAAAGAAATTGTTATCCATTGGAGGTACTACTTGACTAGACTAAGATTCTATATCTCACGATTCAGCGCCCGAAGAAGTGCCTTTGTTGATAACTTTCTAATTCTCTCGTTTTTTTTCAGAATGCATATATATCTTATATATAGCAAACCTTAACGAAATACAGTACCGCTCATTATTCGTAAAAAAAGTCGCGCACTCGCCGCACTGCACTACAGTCCGCCGGAGTGCGGCAGAGTGCGCAACACTCCGTTAGAGTCCCTCGGAGTCCGCGTCGCATCGCCGCACCTCGCTTCAGAATGGACGAATTCTGAATCCGAGGACACCGTTAGATTCAGCTCGGCGAGACGCATCATACAGTTTATAGGAGTCCCACAATCTAGCAGAATATGATAGGTATACGCTAAACAGTATGTTTTCGCTCAATTTTGCAGATTTTTGTTTGGTTGAATTGCTCAGTGTGCTGATAACGGTATTGTCATTGATTTGTCGCTGATGACACATAGAAAGTATACTGTAGGAATATGGTAGAGAGTCACTCTGGTCGAATTTGTTCTAAAATCTGCTCAAGATTACAATACCGCACACAGAATGAACTTCAAAAAGCAGCAAAAGCAAAACTTCCGTGTTTGCGGAATTTCGGGATTTCCGTCAGAGTTCACGATATTCCGGAAAGTTCGCAACATTCCAGGATCCGGGGAATCATGGGAATTACGCAGAATATGCAACGCCATAACTTCTTTCGGATCATATATTCTAAATCCGGGAGCAGCATTGTGTTCAGATCGCTGGGGGAAATCTTTTGATGCACAGCATGCCCTCGATATTCCATTTCAGTTTTCGCGAACTTTTTCTGTGGAGGTCATTTTGCAAGGATGCAACGTAGCGTCCGTGTAACATTAAAGATCTAGTAAGCACTGTTCCATAGTACTGTCCTTGTAGGTTATCGTGCGTTCGGAAAGCTGCAGAATGTCTTTCAAAAGAAAAAGAAGTGTTGGTAAATTTTTGGAAAAATCACGCGTTTCTAAATTCTACTCGCCGTAACGTCCTTCGGAATGCATATTTTCCGAATTCGAGGGAAGTGTTGTGCTCAGTTCATCGAAGCAAATCTTTCGATATGCAGCATGTCCTTGATATTCCGACTTCAGTATTCTCAAATATTTCTGTAGACGTCTTTTCGCAAAGATGGAAAGCAGCGCGCATTGCCCCTAGTAGACTCCAACAAGGAGCGTTCGATAGTAAGTATTATGTAGATTATGGAGCGCTAAAAAGTAGTCACAGGCGCCTGTCCAATGGAGATAGAAGGGCTGGTAAATTGGAAAAAAATCTTGTGGTTCTACAACACGTTGACCAAATCCGCTCACATCGCTTAATGGACCTTCTTGTGTTGGATTTGGCTAGATAGATCTGAGCTCTAGCCACGAAGCTGATTCAAATAAGCAGCTGAAGTACCCTCAACCACTACTCAATTCAGTGGGATCCCTTAGGCGAAGTGAACATAATACATGCATTTAGAATGTCACAACCAGTGGTGGAATTTTAACGAAGTATGCGATCTTTACATTTTGGGCAAAATGCATGAGGACATGTTTTCGTGGGCTTGTAACTAGGCGATTTCTATATACTGGAGATCGAGTCATGCACCATTCGATGGTACCAATCCTAGTCACTTTGACTCATTCTGTGAGCGGTATTGAAATCTTGAGCAGATGTTAGAACAAATTCGACCAGAGTGACTCTCTACCATATTCCTACGATACACTTTCTATGTGTCATCAGCGACAAATCAATGACAATACTGTTATCAGCGCACTGAGCAATTTAACCAAACAAAAATCTGCAAAATTGAGCGAAAACATACTGTTTAGCGTATACCTATCATATTCTGCTAGATTGTGGGACTCCTATAAACTGTATGATGCATCTCGCCGAGCTGAACTAACGGTGTCCTCGGATTCAGAATTCGTCCATTCTGAAGCGAGATACGGCGATGCGACGCGGACTCCGACGGACTCTAGTGATGTGCGGCGCACTCCGCTGCTCTCCGTCGGACTCTGACGGGGTGTGGCGCACTCCGCTGCACTCTAGTGGACTGCGTCGCATTCCGGTGCACTGAAGCGCAGTCCGGCGACCTTTTTGACGAATTATGAGCGGTATTGCAATAATCATAATCTTACGCTCGTAATGAAAAGCCTGGTAACTATTGAAGCACCCCATATTAAAACTCTGAATCTCTTCGTTAGAAGAAAGTAACAACTAAGCGCAGATTTGAAGTTTCATTCAGGTGCCGGCAAAAAGTCAATAAAAGAATTAAGGTTGTCACGAAATAATTATATACCAATATTCCGTGCCATCTCATTAATGCATATCAACTCACTAACAGGCATACAATACAATCACATGAGTTTTCAGATTTTTACGTTACTTAAAGGCAGTTTCTAGGCAAATCTGGGCCTATGGGAATCTCATCTGAAGGGTAATCTTGGAGATCTACTGAAACACTAAGCGAGAGCTCGAATGGTGAGCTCACAGTTGAGATATTCGCCTCCACACTGGACCCCCGAGATCGTATTCGCATGGATTCATGGCGCGACGCATCAGTTTCGCGCAAGGACCACGCGTGTCGCGCCATGAATCCATGCAAATACGATCTCGTGGTCCAGTTTGAAGACTAATATCTCAGCTGCGAGTTCACCAGCTGAGCTGCCACTAGGGTGTCTTAGCTAGGGCAAGAAGCCCGCAGGGTACGAAATACGTTGAGTAAGAAGCCCGTACTTCCAGGTTTGCCTGCTGCCTCTGAAAGTAACGCAGGCCATGAATTTTCCAAGATTATGACAGACAAAATTCGAGACAAAGAGATTAACAAACCTGTTGTAGGCAAAAAAGTCGAGGTAGTCGGTGAAAATAAAACAGTAGTTGTGGCCTCTGTCTCGGCTCTAGACATAGTGGCGTCGCTCGTTACGTGGCTGCTGATGGTTTCTGCCGCTGTGCTGGTCTCTGCTCCAAAGCTGGTGGATTGTGACATCGCCTCGCTTGTTGTGGCCTCTGCTCCACTTGTAGACGTCATAGTGGCGTCGCTCGCTACGTGGCCACTGATGGTTTCTGCAGCTGTGCTGGTCTCCGCTCCAAAGCTGGTGGATTGTGACATCGCCTCGCTTGTTGTGGCCTCTGCTCCACTTGTAGACGTCATAGTGGCGTCGCTCGTTACGTGGCCGCTGATGGTTTCTGCAGCTGTGCTGGTCTCCGCTCCAAAGCTGGTGGATTGTGACATCGCCTCGCTTGTTGTGGCCTCTGCTCCACTTGTAGACGTCATAGTGGCGTCGCTCGTTACGTGGCCGCTGATGGTTTCTGCAGCTGTGTTGGTCTCTGCTCCAAAGCTGGTGGATTGTGACATCGCCTCGCTTGTTGTGGCCTCTGCTCCACTTGTAGACGTCATAGTGGCGTCGCTCGTTACGTGGCCGCTGATGGTTTCTGCAGCTGTGCTGGTCTCTGCTCCAAAGCTGGTGGATCGTGACATCGCCTCGCTTGTTGTGGCCTCTGCTCCACTTGTAGACGTCATAGTGGCGTCGCTCGTTACGTGGCCGCTGATGGTTTCTGCAGTTGTGCTGGTCTCTGCTCCAAAGCTGGTGGATCGTGACATCGCCTCGCTTGTTGTGGCCTCTGCTCCACTTGTAGACGTCATAGTGGCGTCGCTCGTTACGTGGCCGCTGATGGTTTCTGCAGCTGTGCTGGTCTCTGCTCCAAAGCTGGTGGATTGTGACATCGCCTCGCTTGTTGTGGCCTCTGCTCCACTTGTAGACGTCACAGTGGCGTCGCTCGTTACGTGGCCACTGATGGTTTCTGCAGCTGTGCTGGTCTCTGCTCCAAAGCTGGTGGATTGTGACATAGCATTGCTTGTTGTGGCCTCTGCTCCACTTGTAGACGTCATAGTGGCGTCGCTCGTTACGTGGCCGCTGATGGTTTCTGCAGCTGTGCTGGTCTCTGCTCCAAAGCTGGTAGATCGTGACATCGCCTCGCTTGTTGTGGCCTCTGCTCCACTTGTAGACGTCATAGTGGCGTCGCTCGTTACGTGGCCGCTGATGGTTTCTGCAGCTGTGCTGGTCTCCGCTCCAAAGCTGGTGGATTGTGACATCGCCTCGCTTGTTGTGGCCTCTGCTCCACTTGTAGACGTCATAGTGGCGTCGCTCATTACGTGGCCACTGATGGTTTCTGCAGCTGTGCTGATCTCTGCTCCAAAGCTGGTGGATTGTGACATCGCCTCGCTTGTTGTGGCCTCTGCTCCACTTGTAGACGTCATAGTGGCGTCGCTCGTTACGTGGCCGCTGATGGTTTCTGCAGCTGTGCTGGTCTCTGCTCCAAAGCTGGTGGATCGTGACATCGCCTCGCTTGTTGTGGCCTCTGCTCCACTTGTAGACGTCATAGTGGCGTCGCTCGTTACGTGGCCGCTGATGGTTTCTGCAGCTGTGCTGGTCTCCGCTCCAAAGCTGGTGGATTGTGACATCGCCTCGCTTGTTGTGGCCTCTGCTCCACTTGTAGACGTCATAGTGGCGTCGCTCGTTACGTGGCCACTGATGGTTTCTGCAGCTGTGCTGGTCTCTGCTCCAAAGCTGGTGGATCGTGACATCGCCTCGCTTGTTGTGGCCTCTGCTCCACTTGTAGACGTCATAGTGGCGTCGCTCGTTACGTGGCCGCTGATGGTTTCTGCAGCTGTGCTGGTCTCTGCTCCAAAGCTGGTGGATCGTGACATCGCCTCGCTTGTTGTGGCCTCTGCTCCACTTGTAGACGTCATAGTGGCGTCGCTCGTTACGTGGCCGCTGATGGTTTCTGCAGCTGTGCTGGTCTCCGCTCCAAAGCTGGTGGATTGTGACATCGCCTCGCTTGTTGTGGCCTCTGCTCCACTTGTAGACGTCATAGTGGCGTCGCTCGTTACGTGGCCACTGATGGTTTCTGCAGCTGTGCTGGTCTCTGCTCCAAAGCTGGTGGATTGTGACATCGCCTCGCTTGTTGTGGCCTCTGCTCCACTTGTAGACGTCATAGTGGCGTCGCTCGTTACGTGGCTGCTGATGGTTTCTGCCGCTGTGCTGGTCTCTGCTCCAAAGCTGGTGGATTGTGACATCGCCTCGCTTGTTGTGGCCTCTGCTCCACTTGTAGACGTCATAGTGGCGTCGCTCGCTACGTGGCCACTGATGGTTTCTGCAGCTGTGCTGGTCTCCGCTCCAAAGCTGGTGGATTGTGACATCGCCTCGCTTGTTGTGGCCTCTGCTCCACTTGTAGACGTCATAGTGGCGTCGCTCGTTACGTGGCCGCTGATGGTTTCTGCAGCTGTGCTGGTCTCCGCTCCAAAGCTGGTGGATTGTGACATCGCCTCGCTTGTTGTGGCCTCTGCTCCACTTGTAGACGTCATAGTGGCGTCGCTCGTTACGTGGCCGCTGATGGTTTCTGCAGCTGTGTTGGTCTCTGCTCCAAAGCTGGTGGATTGTGACATCGCCTCGCTTGTTGTGGCCTCTGCTCCACTTGTAGACGTCATAGTGGAGTCGCTCGTTACGTGGCCGCTGATGGTTTCTGCAGCTGTGCTGGTCTCTGCTCCAAAGCTGGTGGATCGTGACATCGCCTCGCTTGTTGTGGCCTCTGCTCCACTTGTAGACGTCATAGTGGCGTCGCTCGTTACGTGGCCGCTGATGGTTTCTGCAGTTGTGCTGGTCTCTGCTCCAAAGCTGGTGGATCGTGACATCGCCTCGCTTGTTGTGGCCTCTGCTCCACTTGTAGACGTCATAGTGGCGTCGCTCGTTACGTGGCCGCTGATGGTTTCTGCAGCTGTGCTGGTCTCTGCTCCAAAGCTGGTGGATCGTGACATCGCCTCGCTTGTTGTGGCCTCTGCTCCACTTGTAGACGTCATAGTGGCGTCGCTCGTTACGTGGCCGCTGATGGTTTCTGCAGCTGTGCTGGTCTCTGCTCCAAAGCTGGTGGATCGTGACATCGCCTCGCTTGTTGTGGCCTCTGCTCCACTTGTAGACGTCATAGTGGCGTCGCTCGTTACGTGGCCGCTGATGGTTTCTGCAGCTGTGCTGGTCTCTGCTCCAAAGCTGGTGGATCGTGACATCGCCTCGCTTGTTGTGGCCTCTGCTCCACTTGTAGACGTCATAGTGGCGTCGCTCGTTACGTGGCCGCTGATGGTTTCTGCAGCTGTGCTGGTCTCTGCTCCAAAGCTGGTGGATCGTGACATCGCCTCGCTTGTTGTGGCCTCTGCTCCACTTGTAGACGTCATAGTGGCGTCGCTCGTTACGTGGCCGCTGATGGTTTCTGCAGCTGTGCTGGTCTCCGCTCCAAAGCTGGTGGATTGTGACATCGCCTCGCTTGTTGTGGCCTCTGCTCCACTTGTAGACGTCATAGTGGCGTCGCTCGTTACGTGGCCGCTGATGGTTTCTGCAGCTGTGCTGGTCTCTGCTCCAAAGCTGGTGGATCGTGACATCGCCTCGCTTGTTGTGGCCTCTGCTCCACTTGTAGACGTCATAGTGGCGTCGCTCGTTACGTGGCCGCTGATGGTTTCTGCAGCTGTGCTGGTCTCCGCTCCAAAGCTGGTGGATTGTGACATCGCCTCGCTTGTTGTGGCCTCTGCTCCACTTGTAGACGTCATAGTGGCGTCGCTCGTTACGTGGCCACTGATGGTTTCTGCAGCTGTGCTGGTCTCTGCTCCAAAGCTGGTGGATTGTGACATCGCCTCGCTTGTTGTGGCCTCTGCTCCACTTGTAGACGTCATAGTGGCGTCGCTCGTTACGTGGCCGCTGATGGTTTCTGCAGCTGTGCTGGTCTCTGCTCCAAAGCTGGTGGATCGTGACATCGCCTCGCTTGTTGTGGCCTCTGCTCCACTTGTAGACGTCATAGTGGCGTCGCTCGTTACGTGGCCGCTGATGGTTTCTGCAGCTGTGCTGGTCTCTGCTCCAAAGCTGGTGGATTGTGACATCGCCTCGCTTGTTGTGGCCTCTGCTCCACTTGTAGACGTCATAGTGGCGTCGCTCGTTACGTGGCCACTGATGGTTTCTGCAGCTGTGCTGGTCTCTGCTCCAAAGCTGGTGGATCGTGACATCGCCTCGCTTGTTGTGGCCTCTGCTCCACTTGTAGACGTCATAGTGGCGTCGCTCGTTACGTGGCCGCTGATGGTTTCTGCAGCTGTGCTGGTCTCCGCTCCAAAGCTGGTGGATTGTGACTTCGCCTCGCTTGTTGTGGCCTCTGCTCCACTTGTAGACGTCATAGTGGCGTCGCTCGTTACGTGGCCGCTGATGGTTTCTGCAGCTGTGCTGGTCTCTGCTCCAAAGCTGGTGGATCGTGACATCGCCTCGCTTGTTGCGGCCTCTGCTCCACTTGTAGACGTCATAGTGGCGTCGCTCGTTACGTGGCCGCTGATGGTTTCTGCAGCTGTGCTAGTCTCCGCTCCAAAGCTGGTGGATTGTGACATCGCCTCGCTTGTTGTGGCCTCTGCTCCACTTGTAGACGTCATAGTGGCGTCGCTCGTTACGTGGCCGCTGATGGTTTCTGCAGCTGTGCTGGTCTCTGCTCCAAAGCTGGTGGATCGTGACATCGCCTCGCTTGTTGTGGCCTCTGCTCCACTTGTAGACGTCATAGTGGCGTCGCTCGTTACGTGGCCGCTGATGGTTTCTGCAGCTGTGCTGGTCTCTGCTCCAAAGCTGGTGGATCGTGACATCGCCTCGCTTGTTGTGGCCTCTGCTCCACTTGTAGACGTCATAGTGGCGTCGCTCGTTACGTGGCCGCTGATGGTTTCTGCAGCTGTGCTGGTCTCTGCTCCAAAGCTGGTGGATCGTGACATCGCCTCGCTTGTTGTGGCCTCTGCTCCACTTGTAGACGTCATAGTGGCGTCGCTCGTTACGTGGCCGCTGATGGTTTCTGCAGCTGTGCTGGTCTCCGCTCCAAAGCTGGTGGATTGTGACA